GCCCACATGAGGCAGTTGTCGAGACTAAAGGTCCCCACCTCCCCACAGCCTCCTTTCCAGGGTCCTTTCCAAGCAATCTGAGACTGCGCCTTCAGGCCTGTCTTTGCTTCTCCCACTTTATGCCTCTCCTGGTTCTGAGAGACCAGTGGGGAGGAGAGCTGATCGCAGCAGGAAGGTGAGACATCCGTGCCTCTTCACAAGCCTGACCCATCTCTGCCTCTTGGCTTCCGTCCTCTGCTGCTTCCATCTCTGATCATAGAAGGGACTCCAATAGTCATCTGGTTCAATTCCCTGTAATGCAGGAATATGCAGCTGTCCCATATGGCAATCGAACCTGCAACCTTGGCATTATAAGCACTGTGCTCTAACCAAATGAGCTATAAAGGATTCTGGACTTCTCTCTGTCCCAGACTATCCCCTCTCACTAAGCCCTGTTACCTCTTCTGTGCCTCCCACTGAATTTCCTGTTGATCCCTAAACCTGAACGCAGACTGCTCTGACTTTGCTTCTCACCTGTCTTGGACTGGTTGGATGCAGAGGAATGGATGCAGAGGAACCAGTTGTAGAGTGGTGGTGGGGCGACGATGAGTATTCAGAGGGAAAAGACTGGGAAGAGGTGTCAGGAGTTGAAGTGAAGAGTCAGGGGTGTCTTCCCCTCCTTGTTTCCCAGAACCAGAAGAGGCATGAAAAGAGCAGAGCAGAGGCCGGCTGCATGCAGGCACAGTCTCTGATAATAATAATAATAATAATAATAATAATAATAATAATAATAATTTATTTATTTATACCCTGCCCACTCTGGGTGGCTTCCAACAGAATATTAAAATACAATAACCTATGAAATATTAAAAGCTTCCCTAAACAGGGCTGCCTTCAGATGTCTTCTAAAAATCTGGTAGTTGTTTTTCTCTTTGACATCTGGTGGGATGGTGTTCCACAGGGCGGGTGCCACTACTGAGAAGGCCCTCTGCCTGGTTCCCTGTAACTTGGCTTCTCACAGTGAGGGAACTGCCAGAAGGCCCTCGGCACTGGACCTCAGTGTCCGGGCAGAACGATGGGGGTGGAGACGCTCCTTCAGGTATACTGGGCCGACGCCATTTAGGGCTTTAAAGGTCAGCACCAACACTTTGAATTGTGCTCAGAAACGTACTGGGAGCCAGTGTAGGTCTTTCAAGACCAGTGTTATATGGTATCAGCGGCTGCTCCCAGTCACCAGTCTAACTGCCACATTCTGGATTAGTTGTAGTTTCCGGGTCACCTTCAAAGGTAGCCCCACATAGAGTGCATTGCAACAGTCCAAGCTCAGAAAATGCCCTGGTGAGGAGGGGCTGGCTGCGGGGAGTTGAGGACTTCCAGTTTCGGCAAGTGATTTTCATGGAGGAAGACCATCGGGAATGATCTGCTCTGCTCCTTAGGCATGACACCCAACCAAGTCTGTGGAGATTGTGTTTTTGCTAATAAAGAGTTAACACCAACTTTGAACTTTGTGATTACTGGCCGGCACAGTCCTGCAACATCATTTGACCCTGGTTGTGATCTCTGCTCACTTGGACCTGCCCTGGATACTGCTTTGGTTGCTGCCCACACTTATGTTGCTGTCGGGAAGTCCCCTGTTCACTCAGGAGCCCAGCGAGAGCAGGACACCATGAGGCAGGTCACAGAACTGGCCAGGACCATAGAACAATTGGGATCAGAAGGCAAACTAGGGAGCAGAGCCAAAGAACAAGGCAGGACTGAGAAACTAGACCAGACACACTAGAACTCAGGTAGGTGTTGTTACTGAAGGAAGGCTCAGCTGTAGCAGATAGTCCTTTTTGATGCTCAGGAGGAGCTAATGGTCAGCCTCAGCAGGCAGAGTCAGGCCAGGTTCATAAAGTTCTTCCCTGAGAGGCTGCAGTTATACATCACACCACATGAGGCAGTGGTCAGCAATCCCTGACACACATTTCAGAATCTCCTGCCCTAAAACCCTGTCCTGAAATGACACACAAGCTCTGAACAATTTTATACATACTTCTCGTGTTGCTAAAAATACCATAATCCTATTTCTCCTCATGTTGCTAAATGGATTTAAAAGAAAAATATTTTCCTCCCTCACTCCCAACCTGAGTTAGGTAGATAACTTGCTATTGGCATATTTCTGTGGAAAGGGCAGGGCTGCTATTTAAAGCAACTGAGAATGAGTCACCCGCCAGAGCGATTAAGCCTTGTGAGTCTGTGCAGGATCAGTTCAGAAGTCATATGTGTTGAATAAGCAAGGAGAGGACCTCCAGACTGCCACTGTTTGCAGGAGGGATTCGATTGCACACTTCAGGTTTGCACAATTAAAGTTGATTTAAGTTTTTTTTGCCACACTGCAACAGATTAACTAAAAGAAGAAGCCGCCAAATCATTTTGTTTGTTTGTTTTTTAAAATTTTTATTAAGTTTTTCTGTTTTGTATTTTTAAATATTCATTTAAATAACCTTAAAATATCAAGCCTGGGAACGTGGGGTTCGGCAGGGCACCAGAAGCGCCCCCCTACTCGCGGGGAATCCCATTTAGGGGCTCCGGAGCGAAGTGGGGTGAGAAGCGCGGTGCTGCGAACTGACTGCTACTTTCACGGAGTGAAGCCGCACAGCCATTGCCAGAGAGCGCTGACTTTTCCTGTGGACAATTGGACTTAAAACAAGTACCCGTGAGTAGAAACGGAAAATTGGATCAAGAAATTGCTTAATTTGGTATCGAAGCGGGAAGGTGCAAACAGGAAGTCCGCCTTCCGCTTTTTGTATATAGTCTAAAGCAAAAATTTTGTAAGCTAAAGCCGGGAAAGCTGTCAAAAAGCCTAAATTTCCTTCATTCAGAATCACTGAAACCCCCCTTGGAAGCAGGAGAAAAGGGGGGGGGACTCTGTTTAACCCTAGCAGGAGAGGGAGTGAAGAAGGATAAGTTTCCACCGTCTCTAACCTGGGAACGGGGTGTCAGAGACAGAAACTGTTGGAGAGGTTCATTGACTGTGAATGGAATACTTTGACAGATAGCTAATGAAGAGAGACAAGTTGATTCTAATGTTGCCTTTTGCATTTTAAAGAAACAAAATATCTGAAAAACATCTGAAATATCTGGAAAATGAAAGTAACTTTCCTTTGCCTTTAAAAAAAAAATGGATACAAAGAGAAATTGTCTCCTCTAGAGGGAGCTTGTTAAATTGTTGCTGCAGTATACTTGAGGATCCAACATCTGTGAGATTAAGATCGTGGGAACAGTCTTTTCTGACCTTGACCAAAGATGAGCTGGGAGGAAGATTGGGTGCTTGCTTTATGCAAAACAAATGCCTTGCTGGAACAGATGCACGAGAAGATGGACTTGATGAATGAGAAAATGGATTTGACTGTTGTGGTTAATAACTGTGGACAAACAGGGAACATTGATACAGAAATCATCCAGGGACCAACCTATGATTCTCTACTGACTGGGCAAGTGCAGATGACGATGAAGGAAGATGCGGTTGCACCTCAAATAATTCAAATGGAGAGACCCGAGGCCCTACAGGAGCATAAGCCGCTGTCATTGAAGATTGAAGTTGAAGTGGGCCAGGGGGAGTTTGGAGATGAGGAGGTTCCTAACTTTGGAGAGACCTTGAAATATGATATTAAATACTTTTTGGATTATATCGAGGACTGTGGGGAGTGGGACTGTGGGGAATGGGCGGGCTGGATGAAGGGAAATGGAGACAATTTTGGGTTGGAATCCCCAGAGACCTACTCCTCAATGAGAAAGGAAAGAAATTAAGAAAGAGACCAACAAAAGACAAGGAAAAGGGCAAATATAAACAACAAGAAGAAGAACTGCAGAAGGGACATGGAAGAGACTTAAGGGCCTCGGACATAAGGCTTCCAGGTTGATGGACTAGATGGAATGGATAGTAAGGACTGACACGATCCGAGACCAGGAAGAAGAGACGCTGGATGACGATTGGAAGAAAACTTATAAAGGAAACTTTTATTTAGAATTAGCTTAATGAATATTAGGGAAAATGTTGGAATGAAACTATATGACTCTAGCAGAAATGATATCAGGAGCTATGTATATTTGAAAACTAAGATTTAAGCTTTAAGGTATTTTGGGGTAAGATAAGGTTAAATAAATTAAGGTAATTTGAATAACAGAATATGGGGAAAGATGGAAAGGACTTGTTGAGTTAATTATTAGGTTAAATTGTTAAGACATATTTTTTAACAAAAATTGAGAAAGATGGAAAGAATTTGCTGAAATAATTAATTAAACTAGAATACAAAAAGGGAGGTGTGAGGAGGTCAATGAAACAAGCAAATGGAAATTATAGATATGCAATTTGGGATTTGTGTCTTTTTTCTTCTTCTTCTTTTTATTTTTATTTTGCTGTATTGTTGTATTGGTTTTTATGTTCTGTGTTTTTCTCTTTTTTATATTGTAGTGTTGTTCTTTATTTTGTCTTTTTTTGTAATTTTGAAATTATTAATAAATATTATTTAAAAGTAAATAACCTTAAAATATCAACGACTTCCCTTCTTCTCTTTCCATGGTTCATTTTGCATACCATAAATTCCTGCAACCAAACCATTCAGTGTTCCATTATTACATCCATCAAAATGTATTTTCACTGTTGAATTTATCTTAATGCTGCCAACGTTTTCAAATGTACACAATTCCACCCCCCCATATATTCAATAAACATTTTCCAGCCTTCTCTAAACGTATGTTCTTCTTGTTCTCTTATTCTGTATTCTCTTATTCTTAGTCTGCAAGTTTCAAAATCATTTTGGGAAGTGGCAGATAAGTCCATTGAAAAGTGTGGGATGGATGGATGATGAATGGCAAGAAGTAAAAATACCCCAAAAGCAAATCAGGATGAATGTTCACTGACATATAGTCACCCCACAAACAAATCAGAATGAAAGCTCAATATAAACTAGACATAGTCCAACCTCTGTATAAGCTTTGTGCAAGCAAATCAGGAAGAATGCTGGATAAACAGGGAAGCTGGGGTAGCTCAGTTGGTTAGAGCATGAGGCTCTTAATCTCAGGGCCATGGGTTCAAGCCCCATGTTGGGCAAAAGGGGGTAGACTAGATGACCATAATGGTCCCTTCCAACTCTTTGATTCTATGATTTTATGATCTGCAGGAGCCCTAAGAAGCCAGACTACAATTCCCATCATCCTTGACAACTGGTTCTGCTAGCTAGGGATGATGGGAGTTGTAGTCCAGAAACAGCTGGAGACCCAAGTTTGGGAAACCCTGCTCTAACCACTATACCACACTGACTTACTATTCCCCTTACAGTCTCTGTTTGAAGGGGATGCAAAAACACTGCTGTATAAAGAACTATTAATCTTCCTTCTGTCGCCAGTTCAACTTGCCATTGCTTGGCATGGGAAGAAATTGAGTCCACATATGCTTGCAGATTGGCACCAGCCAATTTGGCAGGCGGCATTAATGGGAAAATTGCCTAAGCCCATACACATACGCAGAGGTCAAAGAGAGGAAGGCAATCTTCATGAAGTCTGGTCTTGCTTTATTTTAGCATGCTAATAACTGAGTTCACGACACCCACTTTCCTGTAACGCACAGTTCCTGGTGGAAATATCTCTTTGGCTGATGAGTGGGTCAATTTCCAAAGTCAATGGACAATAAATAATCAGTATTTCTGTCGAAACACTTCCATTTTGATAATGTAGATTGCATACCATCCCCTGGTAGTTATAAACAGTGTTTTTGGACTTGAAAAAAATGAAATAAAATATGTGCTTAAAATGGGAGGGAGAAGCTTTGTGTTAGGAGACCAAAATAATGAGGCAAGACACCAAGTATAGGGTAAAGTTACCAGATTTTTTTCAATGAATCCGGGGACACTTTTCAACTTCAATGGATTTTGTATGGGGACTGATTTGTAAATCCGGGGACTGTCCCTGGGAAACGGGGACATCTGGTAACCTTAATCTAGGGCTAATTTATAAACAATAACTTATCAACCACATGGGGGGGGATGAAAACCATGTAAGGAAATATCCCCAAAGTCTAGCAAGCTACTTGTTGATTGGGTGATTCTACCCTTGAAGGTGTGAGAGTTGACTTTAAGCCCAATTCTTTCCCCCTGCCATGCTCATTCAGGTGAGGATGGAACACATACCCATCTGGTTCCATTATTTTACTCTTGTTCATGCGCGTCCTTAAAATCTTATTCTTAACAATCCAATTTCTAAACCTTATTCATCTTATTACAAGTGACTTTTGAACGTTCGTTCAACTAATGTAAATACCTGTACACAAAGCTTGCAAGGTTATGTTTTAAACATTTCCCTTGTTTAAAAGAAAAGAAAAGAAAAAAACCAATGTCCTTTTGGGTTTCAAGTTGTCTAATCTGTCTTGCATAGTTCACTAATTTATTTTACCAGTCTTCTTTATCTTCTTTGGTGGTGGCTTCTTCCTTCTATGGGATAGAGGACATATCAGATATTAAACTGATAAAAACAGATACTACACTTGATCTTAGCCAAAAAGCTGAGAAGCAAATTCCATAGTTCAACTCTATGAAGAAGGACTATCCCAAACTTTCTAACGTCCAGTTTTACTGCATGTCCACAAGTTCTAGTAATATGACAGAGGGAGAGGGAAAAAACCTTCCTATCCACTTTTTCCATACAATGCAACATTTTATATACCTTTGCCATGCTCCCTATACCCAACTTCTCTCCAAACTTAAAAGCCCCAAATGTTGTAAGGTGGTAAACCAGTAGCAATTCTTGAGAAATTAAATATGTGCATATTTGAATATGATCTGCACCCCCTAGAATAACAAGAGCATACAGGCGTTGTGACAAAGTTCTTAGTTTCAAAAACTGGTGGTTGTTTTTTTTTAATGCATGTCTAAAAGAGTTTATCAATGCATATCTTAGGAGAAAATTCATTAAAATATGCATTTCATTCATTATTTTCTGATTGGATTTATCAGGAAACAGGGCAGGGTAGACTTATGAGTGAACACATAGTACACAAGCAGGTGTACACTAGTAACATCGGGTTATAGGCAATGCTAATCCTACTCAGAGTATACCTATTGAAGGTAATGGACAGGATTGACTCAGGTTCGTTAATGTCAATGGGTCTCCTCTGAGTAGCAATCTGGATAGAACCCAACTTGATTTAACCAGCCTTACAAAGTTGTAGTGAGGTCAATTCAGAAGAGAGCTGCCTGTACCTTAATGCGGGGATGATTCCCCCCTCCACTCTCATGACCATACACATTTCATGAAAAAGAAAAAGTTTCACCTTGCAGAAATCTCATCACAAAATAAAGATTTCCTCCCCCCTTTCAAATTTCCCCAGAGATCTTATTGATCTAATTAAAGTTTGTATTGCAAGAGCATCGCCCAGGAGACAAATAAAATACAATGTTCCCTTACTGAGTGTGCTATTCCTGATTCAGTGTTCCATTAGAATAATCACTCAGCAAAATCTTTATGCTTCTCCCTCTTCTCTGTTCATTGTCTTATAGCTCTTGTTTTGTGTGCAGATTTTGACAAACCCAAGGGACTTCTCAGCTGCCAGGTGGGTTGCAGAAAGGATGAGACAGACAGACGATAGATATAGATAGATAGATAGATAGATAGATAGATAGATAGATAGATAGATGATAGACAGATAGACAGACATGTAAGATTCTGATTTAGACATGCACCACATTTTCTGATGTTCCCATCAACTCCAATGATGACCCGCAGAAGATGCTGCATGCTCAAAGAACAGAGGAATAGGAGTAAAATCAACACACTAATTAATTACACTGGTACCTTAGGTTACAGATGCTTCAGGTTGCAGACTCTGCTAACCCAGAAATAGTACCTTGGGTTAATAACTTTGCTTCAGGATGAAAACAGAAATCGTGCGGTGGCAGCGCGGCGGCAGCTGGAGGCCCCATTAGCTAAAGTGGTACCTCAGGTTAAGAACAGTTTCAGGTTAAGAACGGACCTCCAGAACGAATTAAGTACTTAACCCGAGGTACCATTGTATTTCCTCTTTGGGCTAACCAAGCACAGCAACCAAGATGGATGTACTCACCAAGACTATGCATCAAGGGACACGGGTGGTGTTGTGGTCTAAACCGCTGAGCCTCTTGGGCTTACCGATCAGAACGTTGGCGGTTTGAATCCACACAACGGGGTGAGCTCCTGTTGCTTTGTCCCAGCTCCTGCCAACCTAGCAGTTCGAAAGCACACCAGGAAGGTAAACAGCATTTCCGTGCGCTCTGGTTTCTGTCACAGTGTTTCGTTGCGCCAGAAGTGGTTTAGTCATGCTGTGGACAAACGCTGGCTCCCTCTGCCTGAAAGTGAGATGAGCGCTGCAACCCCATAGTCACCTTTGACTGGACTTAACTGTCCAGGGGTCCTTTACCTTTTCGCATCTGTCTCTCCACCCTGATCTGATTTGTGACCCAGTCTGGTGCTTTGGAGCAATGTCAGTCCAGCCTGTCTCAAACTGATTCGGTGGGCTTTGCCCTGTTTTTAATTAGGACTTCAATTTTCAATTAAAAATGCAGTTGGAGAGGAGTGCATTTCCTTGCTGCCAGACCACCAACATTTCTCAATATGAAATGGGGATGCCTCATTCCATCCTAGTTAAATCTTGCAATGGCTCATATCAGTCCTTAAGGAAGTGAGGTCCTGAGCCATGTAAGGCTTTATAGGTCAAAGCCAGCACTTTGAATTGGGCCCGGCGACTAATTGGCAGCCAGTGCAGTCGGAACAGGATCAGTGTAATATGCTCAAACTGCCTTGTTCTGGTGAGCAATCTTGCCATTGACTTTTGCACCAGCTGAGGTTTTTGAACCTTCTTCAGAGGCAGCCCCACATATAATGTATTGCAGTAATCCAGCAGTGGGTGGAGCCAATGACAGGCAGAGCAAATCAATTCTACAGGAGCAACACTGAGACTAAGGAGGAGGAAGCCAACAGCCAGTACCAACCCCGGGGCAGGATGTAAGAAAGAAGTCAGGTGACTGATGGGAGAAGGAGCTTGGTGGGGCAGTGGCTTTCACCCCCTAATGGAGCCACCTCCACTATACTACTGGCTGTTACAGAATCATAAAATTGTAGAGTTTGAAGGGATCTCAGTGGTCATCTAGTCCATGTCACAGTCCAGTCTACAGGCGATCGAAGTCCCAGCTAAGGAAGTTGGGACTGGGGGCAAAATGGCGGGGTGGGAGCAGGAATGAGAGTCCAGAAGCCAGGGGTCTGAGGGTCAGGAAGCAGGGAGTCACAAAGTCAAGGGTCCGAGGTTGAGAAGCAAGGAGTCACAAAGTCAAGGGTCCGAGGGTCAAGAAACAAGGAGTCCAGAAGCCGAGGTCCGAGGGTCAGGAAGCAAGAAGCCAAATGCAGCAAGGCAGGAAGCGTGTTTCTGTGGCAAAGAGCCGAAGGGAAATGCTGACCTTAGATCCCTTCCCGGCTCTTGCCACCAGGGGCAGCGAGTTACCAAGCGGCCTCACCTGTGCGGTCGCGCCTTGCCTCTCCAGAACAAACTTAGGAAGGCCCCAGTCCTGCAAAGCCCTGCTGGTCACAGCGCCTGGCTCCTGCATGCACTCCTGACAGTCCAGCCATCTGCAATGCAGGAATCACAGTTAAAGAATCCAACCTTTGTTTAAAAACCTCCAACGAAGGAGAGTCCACCACCTTCCCAGGTCATCCTTTCTACTGTCAAACAGCTCTGTCAGAAAGTTTTCCATAATGCTTAGTTGGAATATTACCTCATGTAATTTGAATCCGTTGGTTCCTGTCCTACCCTCTGGAGCAAAGAGAAAACGAGCTTGCTCCATCTTCCATACTACAGCCCTTCAGATATTCAAAGATGGCCATCATATCTCCTCTCAGCCTTCTCTTTTCCAGGCTAAACATGCCCAACTCCCTAAACTTTTCCTCACAGAGCTTGGTTTCCAGACCCTTGATCATATTGGTTGGCCCTTTTTTGCACACATTCCATCTTGTCAATACCCTTCTTAATCTATGGTGTCCAGAACTGGACCCAGGACTCCAGATGGGAGCCCAACCAAGGCAGAATAAAGTGGTACTATTACTTCCCTCGGTAGTTGCTGGGTGACCTTGAGTCCCAGCATTATGAGAGAAGGAGAAACAGGAACTCTCTATCCATTTCCTCTATAAACCTGTGATTACATAGGCTGTGTTTATGGCAAATCCTCCACTGTGTCCCTCACCATTCTCGCAAGCTTCTTCTCCTTTGCCTCACACTGCAGGTCAGCCTTTGTATTCCCTCCGCTTCCTGTGTTAATATTTTGCACAGCGAAGGCTGATTGATATCAATAAGCAGGTAACTGTAAAAATGGCAACTCAGCAGGCCGGATTTCTGGTACGCATGTGGTGATTGCAGTATCTGCTAAGCAAATCTCCAAGAGTAATTGGCAGCTTTGCTACACAAAGTGGGTTATTGTTTTTAAAAGCCACGCTGGAGAACATCGGGGACAAAAAGATTGCCGGGGTGAGCAAAGCTGCTCTCCAAACACAGCAGAGGATGAGTGAATGGGGAAGCTGTTCCTTCTTTCCTCCTTTCTCTTTCTTTCCTTCCATCAAATATAGAGAGGTTAACAATGAAAACCACACACAATGTGTCACAGTGAAAGCGCAGTGTGTGAGCTTGGGCGTAAATAACCACAGGCAAAGAATTTCATTCAAGTGGAATGAGGTTTCTGAGAGCGCTGATAACTTTAAGTACCTGTGAAAAGAATTGTGTCAGGACTGACTGTGAACTGCTTTCATTGTGTCTTAAGAAACAACAGCAGCACAACCCTGCTTTTAAACAGATTTGACCAAATCAAACCACATTTATGGTAGCCCTCAAATCATAGGCACCCCATGGCCTGAGTTCATGGGGGGTGGGGAGACCAATGAGAGGAAGACTGAAGAGACACTCAAAGCAGATGGGGCAATGAGAGGAAGAGGAACTGGGAGCCTTTGACAAGAGAACAGTGCAGATGTCCAGCAACAGCCATTTGCCCTTCCTCTGGTAAACACTGGGGGATGGAGAGATGTGAACAGAGCCAAATTTCTCCCTGCGTCCAGCATGGAAAATCACTTCTAAGAGAACAAGTGTGCTTTTGCAGCAGGCTGATTCTTGCCAAGTAGATGAGGAACAAACAAGCAAGTTTCACATGTTTTTAATATATTGCAACAATGTGCAATATAATATACCGAAAAGGCTAAAATCATGTACACCGTGTTAGTTGTTGTCTATAACCCATACCATTGCTGTTCGTTTTTAAGAAGCCAGTGTTGGTGTTAATCTCTATAACCTGCTTTCAATTTGGTGGTGTTACTAGGCAAGAACAAAATGTTGCTTTTTCTTATCTCACGACTCTCACCATCACTCAGGGGAAAATATAAGAACCAGCCTCTTCTAACGGCTGACCACCATTCCATATTGAAATGGGTGCTCTAATCTTTATATGATTGCCTTTTCTGTGATAGAAATATGGCTCTGCGTAGGGTATTTATTGTCTGGTTCTCTCC